GCCTCCAGGTTCCTGCCCCGAGTTCCTACCTTGGGCTCCCTGATGAACTGCGTGTGACCTGGGAGATGTAAGACAAATAAACCCTTTCCTCCCCAAGTTGGTACTGGTCAGAGTGTTTTGTCACAGCAATGAAGAACAAACTAGGACACAGGGCTACATAGAGACCCTGTCAAAAACAAAAATTCCAACTCTGGCTGAAATAGGCCACACATAAAGGTTTTATCAAGCAAGAATATAAGTTTTTCCAAAGCACTAACGTCCCAATAAATAGTTCACTAAATAGAAATTCCATTTAAACTGTCATCAATGTAGTAGCTATTACCTGTACATCATAACCATCCCAGCCTTTGTTCTGGCACTGTATCACTTTGGGGGTGTAGGAGTCACAACCAGCTGTGCCTCCAACACATTTCAGCTGTGGGATAGGATCCAGCCTCCGGGAGGTGGTGTAGCGGTCATAGTGCAGGGTAAGAGCTTTCACATCCCGCAACAACATTCTGTCTGAAACAGCAAGAACACAGGTACATGAAGAGTAAATATCTCATTAAACAAAAATAGGTGCATCCTAACAATCAATTTCAAAAGTAAGTGATTTTCCTGCCTTTTGAGTATGACTAAGAGAAAGAAGACTCAGTTTCTCAAAGTCATCAGTCAAGCTGACAACCAAAGCCAAGCATGACAATTAAATGGACTCTGGAGTAGCAGGGACCAGGTGGCAGCAGAAAATTGCCAAAGACCAGGCAAGCATAGATACCGCAATAGGCAGCACAAGCAAAACAAGGCCTAAAATAGCATGACTCACACGGACCTTCAGTGCTGGCAAATAAAATCGTGGTGTTTCCAGGAACAAAATAGATAGGGTTTTTGTTTGATCTATATAAGAAAAAAACTCTAGAAAAAATAAAAGGCTACACTGGATCATAGCAATAGGGAATCCAGGCCCGTCAACCAATTTCCAGACTTGGACCAGTTCACAGACCCAGAACCCCTTGAATGACAGAGGGCCAGCATGAGGAAGGGCCATGTTACAATACCAAAGAGTTACACTGTTAAGACTTCCTCCAATTCTTTCCCAGAGGAACCTACAGCTTTTTATTGGAGTAAAGGAAATAATCAAGACTTTGTAGGGTCTACTGAATTCTGGCTCTGAATAACACAGGTTTTGAGAGATCCCTAAAAGCATTATGGTCCTCCATTTAAAGGAGGGGCTTTATTGAGGTCAGGTGATCGATGGAGTTTTAGCTGAAATCTGACTCACAATGAGTCCAGTGAATCCCCAAACTCATCCTGTGGTTGTTTCCCTAGTCCCCAAATGTATAATTTGGATAGAAATTCTTAGACGTTGGTACATGGGAGTCAGATATTTCTGTGATGGACCTGACCATGTTGGGTTTTGAGAGACTTGTGCAAGTGTTTGAAGCTTTGTCTGGAAAGCTGTTGACTCCTCATAGCTTAATGGACAGTTTTGTGAGAGCTTGGAAGATAATGCTTAGAAAAAAATGCAGACAGTGGAGGCCTGACTTGTGAAGTTTCACAGGGAAGTAAAGACTCTATCAGGGCCATTCACATATTTTTGAACTGAGAATCTGTGGTTTCTGGTTAGCTGATTAACAAGAGATTGGCACCACTGGTGAAATCTTTACCTTACTGAGACAACAGATGCTGGTCAGCTGGGGCTGAAAATTTAGCTGTGAATAATAGGACATTATTTCCTCAGGGACAGCACACGGAAGCCATAACCCAGAGGAGGTCAAGGCTGCATCTCAAGCTGGTAGCTAAACTTGGTAGTCTAAGAGGCTCCCATATGCTACGGGTTTTGAAGGCATGAAAGGGGTCATGGAGAGCAGATGAGGCTTGGCACCATCTGGCAGGACTGGAGTTCCTGTAGAAGCACTAGGAGACCACTGATGAAGGTACAACCTTGGCTGCAGTGGAGACCCCAGCATAGTGGAGCTTCCTGGACAGTGGGAAAACTACCAATGGCAGCAGCAGATGCGGAGTAGAGACGGCCTGAACCTATGAGACAAGCTGTGTGTGCTGTAGACTGGCAGAGCCAAAGAAGTGGAGCTGCCCAAGCCTTCTGGTGTCCGTAAGATCCTGAGTGACTCTCAGATGTTGGATATTGACCTATACTGCTGGGCTTTGGTTTTGCTTAAGTGTGCCAGGTTACTCCCTTTTGAAATAATGTAAATGATTTTTGATTTTACAGAAGTTGAGACACTTTTGATTATTTTAAGGAGGCATTGAGCTTTTAACTGATAGAATTTTTGAAGACTGGACCTTTTAAAGTGGTACTGTGTTTTATACTGTGATGTTAATGTGAGATGTTGACAAGGAAAGGAAAGGCGATTGTTTTAAGTGATGCGTTTGTGTGTCAAAGTTGACAAGGCATGGAATGTCATAGTTAGCTTTGTTGTCAACTTGACACACCTTGGAAGAGGGAACTTTGATTGGGGAAGTTCCTCTATCAGACTGTCTTATGGGCATGTCAGGCATTTTCTTGAATGTTGATGTGGGAGGGGCCGGGCACCTAAAAGCCCCACCTTGAATACGTCCGAAAGGAAGTTACTGGGGGCGTGGCCTGGATTGCTTTGAAAGTCTGAAGAATACTTCTGCACTGCTGAGGAGTGCATGATCAGCACGTGACCATCCTTAAGATACACCCTCAGAGGGGGAGGGGGTAGTTCCAGTTGCCTTTATAAGCTTTGGAACACTTGCAATAAATGAGTCCCAGCTTGACTAGGCTCCCCATTGCGTCTGAGTGTCCCCGGGTAACGGGGGTGGCGTGGGCTGGCGAATGGCGTGCATACTCATCCCCAGTCCTCACCTCGCCGGGGGTTGCGGGTTCAAGTCCCCGGCATCTGGCACCCAACATGGGGCTCGAAGGGAGGTGAAAAGAAGAAGAAGAAAAAACTGATTGGGGCCAATCGAGGAGGTTCGGGGTAAGCAAGACCCTAAGAAATGGGTAATGCAATTTTTAAGTTTGAAGACCTAGTGCTTAAAGCGCTGAGAGATATGCTTAAAAGCAGGGGATTGGATTTGTCAGATCCCGTAGCTCAAAAGGTTTGGGCAGAGGAGATTCATTTGGCTCCCTGGCTACTTGGGGCTAATGTTTTTACTGGGGATACATGGGAATCATGGGAAGGGTTTGAGGAAGAAGGCAGAGATGCAACAGAAGTGAACTCAAAAGCGGCCAAAGTTACAAGCTGCACCTCTGGTGTGCCCTGGACAGCTTCAGAGCCTCCCGGGCAGAAGGGCGCACAGGGAGAGCACACAGGGTCAGTGGGGAAAGCCGCCCACCCCACCTGCCTTGAACTAACATGTGCCGGGAGTCAGGGGCTCGTGCGACCGCAACCTGCCCAGGTCAGGGGCTCCCAGGAAAGCCAGGCAGGGACTGGTGGCAGGAGCCACCAGGGTCATTTAAAAAACAAACAAACAAACACCTTTTGGCTGTGCACCTTGACCGGCTCAAGGCTAGCTGAAAAGGCCCAGAGGAAGGTGGCTAGGGGAGGGGCCCCACCCCTTCAGTTTCGTGGGTGGCCAGGAAACCACCCCACCCCCAAGTGCTACAGCCCCTCCGGCAGCAGCACTCGCCAAATCCCGGGCCAAGGGAGTTCTTAGTAAAAGCCTGCAATGTTTTCACTGACTGGGGCAGATGTGGAGAAACCAAAAAGCAGCTCAATTCAAGGAACTCATGGCCATTGCTTTCTGACAGTATTCAGACTCATACGCTCCTTAAAGAGAGAAAGCCCCTGTCTTCTTACAGCATCTTAGGGGGCACCAAGGATTGCCTGGGCTTTTATCCCAAGGCAATGCAGAGGTCTGTCAGCAGGCCCAAATGAAGCTCAGAGGTTACATAAACACACTCATGTAAATTGGCAGGGACTCCATAAGAGGTTTCCTTAAGTTCCCATCAAGGACCTAAAGAAGATTGTACATACCGCGTTTTGAAACACGGACCAAGGAGTGTAACGCATGCGCGAGTCAGGGGCTCGCACAAAAGCTGGACAGGTGAAAGACCCCCGGCTGGCGACTGGCCCCCACTGGGCACATTTATATTTTTGTGTCCATTGACACATTCTCACATACCTATTGGGCTACCACTCATACAGGAGAGAAGTCTAAACATGCTCAGTCTCATTTTCCCCAGTGCTTTGCTACATTGGGATTGCCCCAACGAATTAAAACTGATAATGGACCATGTTTTGTGAGTAAAAATTTACAAGATTTCTTTTCACTTTGGGGAATTCAACACAATACAGGAATTCCCTACAATCTCCAAGGTCAAGCCATTATAGAACACAACCATCAAAACCTAAAAATTCAATTACAAAAACAAAAAGAGGGAATAAGCCCCCACCAACAGTTGGGTATGGCCTTATTCATTATTAATGTTCTTAATTTTCAAAAAAAATCAGTTGGAATCCTGGTTTCAGAAGCATTGGGTACAACAGGAGCAGAGACCTGAGGTACGGGTAAGATGGAAAGACGCCATCAGCAGGCAATGGAAAGGACCAGATCCATTGCTAACCATGGGTCAAGGCTTTTGGTGTGTTTACCCTACAGGAGATTCAAACCCCATATGGGTGCCTGCAAAAAACCTTAAGTGGGTAGGCCAGGATCTGACTGACTAGCATGCCATCTGAGGTGAAGGACCCAGTTCCTTGGCTTCATTGCCAGTCAGCCTCTGCAACTGGCTGATTGGCTAAAAGGTACATGGTCTCAGAAGTATTTCAACTTGTCCTACACCATGATTTGCTTTTTTCCTCTTTCGATA